CACACACACACACACACTTGTAGTCAGAAACACCCACAAACACCCACAAACACACACGCTCACACACACACACTCAAAAACACACACGTACACGCTCGCAAACAAACGTATATACACACACACACACACACACACACACACACAAACACACACACACACACACACAAACACACACACACGCATACACACAAAAACAAACAAACAAACTACAAACTCACACACATGCACAAATTCCACAAAATACTTTCGCTGTTGTTCAACTTTGTTGTCAGTCAAAATTTTGTGAGAGAAAAAATTAAATCAAGTTTGTTTTAGATTTTGATAAAGTGTATCTCTTGGTCTTAAACTCTTTCTTGGTTACCTTATAGCTACAGATTTAGAGACGATCTAAACATATTGTACAAAGATAAAGTATTGAACAAAATATTGTCGTTTTGTTTTGTTGAATTTTTAATATTTTTGTTTTGTTTTTTGTTTTTCCTGAAAACCTTGTATTTCGACATGAAACAACGAACAACGATGTTGAATGAAAACTTTAAGACTGTGCTCCTCGAACATTTTGTTAGGCCTTTAGATAAGGCGCCTCTGTAAATGGTTGGTTAATTGATGTATAGTGCGGTCAAAAAATCATGGCGCAACTTCTAGTCAAATATTTCCTAAACTATCGAATATAGATTCTCCAGCGTTTACACAATGACTTGCATCAATTCGTCATAACAGATTAATATTTTTGTAACACTTGTTAGCTGTATTCTAGAAAATTCCTTATTAAATACTCATTTTAAAAATCCAAGAAGGCATTTTCTACCAATTTTCATAGGTTTACAGCTGGGGCAATATCTTTTAGCAAATCATCATTTTTTTAAAAATCGGTACCTCATCTTTATTGAACGCATGTTTTGAGAAACTTAGTGCAAAAAATGTGTTCACTATAACAGGAATTTCTTGTAACAAGTTTTGCCAATAAAAAGTGTCGTTGGTAAGCTGTGACGTAGGCCATAGGACTAGATCTATGCATATGCAAAATGTGTTGGAGAAGCGGGAAGTTTTGTGAACAATTCCATTTTCTGCGCGGCAGAGATTTTTAGCATTTTATATAAATTTTTGACCAAAAGTGTTTTAATCTTGCCTCTATTGTTGTGGGAAAATATGGTTAAGTTAAGAAAAATTGATACAAACTGCTGTACAAAGTATTGATGACATTGATTCACCTGTTAAGGGGGAGGGGGGGGGCTACACCCCCAAAGTCAAAATTCGGCTCAAAATCATGGAATTTGAGTTGTAGGCATTTTTAGCTTCCTC